TTAACTTTTGCATATGATTTTACATGAAAGATAAATTTATTACTTGTTTATGAATATTCTTAAATAAATATTACCTTGTCTGCTTATCAACTTCATTTTACCTCTTACATATGTCATGAAAAAGCAGCTTTAAATGTAAGAATATAATGTAATGCAGTTTCTACATTAAAATTATAAAAGTTGTATGTCCACAAATAATTTAGTTTTTAGTTGTGATCTCATTCGTTTAAAAGGTAAAATAGCATAGCAGGGTGCTTTGGATTCTTAAATAGTGAAGCATGAAAACTTGATCTAGATAATTTCTCAAATATGACTACTGTTCCCCAATTTTGGCAGCCTTAATGTAACAATATTTACATAAAACGTTTAGTTAATTTACCAGAAACTTCAAACATAAATATAGTAGAAGGGGTAGAATGTATGAAAGAATCCAACTATTTAAAAAAGAACATGTCAATATTTGTGGTTCCTGGAAAAAGATAGAGGGATGACCCATTAATATATTCAGATTTTTGTTTTCTCCTAAAAATGTATTTACAACATTTGTTTACCTTGGCCTTTGGAAAATTCTCCTTTTCCATTGATATATAGAGTTTGGCAACTACTCAATTTTCTTCAATTATCAATGAACCAGGTTTAAATATTAATTTGATGTGTTCTTTGTAACCACTGATTTTATAACTCAATTATAATAAAATAAGCACACGGGAACCTTAATATTTAAATTTCACTATGCTTATATGTATGAGTTAAATCGGTTTAAACTAATTCAGATTCTGTGATGACTCTTTTGCTAGGTGAATATGTCCTTTGATTCATATCCATAGTAAAAATCATTAAGGAGATCTGGGATTCAAATCCCTTTTTGGAAATGTACCTATTTCAGGACACATGTTTAAGCTAAAATATAAACTTCTATTTGTGTTTGTCTCAGTAATAAAATTTAATTATTAATTCAAACCATGTTTACTCCATGAATTTTCAAAATATAGAAATAATTGTTTCCATCCCACTTGAATTAAATTCTTTACTTTCTGATTATTTGCCATCTCTTTTACAAAGATTTTCTAAAATACAAGTTCATATAGATTAGCAAAGCATATAGATAAAATAGTACTTGATTTTCAGCCCTATTTTCTTCATCCTATGGTGTCTATTTGCATAATATTCCAGTGACTGATATCTGATCCATCCATTTGCCTGATGTGTCTCCTTAACTTTGAATCCAGAGCTCAATTTAAGTTCTAGTCTTTCTTGGATTATGTTTGAGTTAAAGGCAGTATTAAATTCCCTTTTCTTTCTGTCGCATGTTTTGTTGCTTGTTCTGTCTCTCTCTCTCTCTCTTTCTTTCTGGTGGAGTTTTGCTCTTGCTGCCCAGGCTGGAGTGCAGTGGTGCGATCTCAGCTCACTGCAGCCTCTGCCTCCTGGGTTCAAGCGATTCTCCTGCCTCAGTCTCCCGAGTAGCTGAGATTACAGGCATGCACCACCGTGCCCGTCTAATTTTGTATTTTTAGTAGAGATGGAGTTTCTCCATGTTGGTCAGGCTGGTCTCAAACTCCCAACCTCAGGTGATCCACCCACCTCAGTCTGCCGAAGTGCTGGGATTACAGGCATGAGTCACCATGCCTGGCCTGCTTGTTCTTTCTATGAGAACTCTAAAATTGTCTCTCAAAGGGACAATAAGGAACTATGGGAAAAACTTACTTTTTATGATAGTAACCCTTAAATCTTAAATCTGTTTTTGTTTTTTATTTAGTTATTTTTTTGTACCGTGGGTTACAACATTTTAGCTGGTGCGAAAATCCATAGATGGTCCAGCATTTGTTTTAATAAAATGACATAATGAGACATAAAATATCAAAGTGCTTCAGAAGCCATAGAGTTAATTTTTTTTTTTTCTTTTAAACATTTGTTTCTGTGTGTGTGTGTGTGTGTGTGTGTGTAAGTGTGCACTGGGATATTTGAAAATTGTGTTCTTTATGACTGTGTTCAGAAAACTGTAGTCTAATGATAAAGTTACTGTAAAAATTTTACCCTGTCTATATCATCAAGCACATTAATAAAATAACGTATTTGAACTTTCTTACAATACTTTGCTCAAAGCAAGCACTAACACACCATAAATAAAAATCAAGAGACACAATTACTACATCCTTACTGTCAGACAAACTGTCAAGAATGATTGTCTGAACCACCTGGCAGCAGTTCTGCCCCTGAGAGTGAGTGGAGACACAGTGCACCAAGGCATGGAAACTACATGGAATAGGGGGAGAAAGTGAGCTGTGGAAGCCAATGAATTTCCTTGTCTCAGGAGTCCTCCAGGAGTTCTCTTAGTGTCAGAATTACAATACCCTGAGTAAGGACAGTACAGCCTTTCCAAGGGCTTTTTTCCCCTTCTGAGCTGGATAAAAAAAGCATATGGGAATACATATATGTTATATATATGTGTGTGTGTGTGTGTATATATACACACATATATATATGTATATGTATATTGGAATATATCACCACACTTGGAATAATTAGTCATTGTTCCTTTGCTAAGTTCTGTGTCATTTCATCAAATCCTCAAAAATTCTACTGCTTTTAGGAAGCCTTATTGAACTAATTGGAAAATAGAGTAGCATCCCTCTCCCTTTTATTTAAGAGCATGTCACATTGGCTGGGTGTGGTGGCTCACGCCTGTAATCCCAACACTTTGGGAGGCCAAGGTGGGTGGATCACTTGAGGCCATGAATTCAATATGAGCCTGGCCAACATTGCGAAACTCCATCTGTACTAAAAATACAAAAATTAGTTGGCCGTGATGGCGTAAACCTGTAATCCCAGCTACTTGGGAGGCTGAGGTACGAGAATTGTTTAAAGCAGGAGGCAGAGTTTGTAGTGAGCCAAAATCCTGCCACTGCACTCCAGCTTGTGTGACAGAGTAAGACTCTGTCTCAGGTAAAAAAAAAAAAAAAAAAAAGTACATGACACTTTGTTCATTGCATGTAACTCTTTGCTTTCCGTAATAATATTTTCTTTTTTTAAAGTGCCCACCTTTCCTTTTGTCATTAAAAGACACTCTTTCTCATCATATTCTAACTTTCATTAGCTACTGCAGAGGATAGGCACCATCTGTTTATTCACTTCGTAGGTATTTTGAATAGTGCTGTATACAAAATGATGCTTTAAAAATGCATGTAATGATCATTCCTTTTGAAATAGAAAAGAGTCACCATTCCCTCTCAATATTATAAATTGTATTTCCCCAAAATGCCATGCTTTATATTTTTCTAAATAGGATTTGATGGTTCCCATATGTTCCTAAATGAGAGTTTTCTTCTAGACACTTGTACAAATGTGGCCAGTAAAAATGAATACTTTGTCCTTTTCCCTTTTAGCTGCTTCCCTAGGAAATCTCTATTTTGCTCCCCTCATTGGAAGGCCAAAATAGCAATGCCTTTGAGTGTTTCTCCCCTAGGAGCTTTTCCCTTTTCTTTCTCTGAAAGTCTAGAGAGCCAAATATCCTCTTAATGACTCGGCCACCTGAGCAGTCTTTGTCAGTGGCTTCCATGCCCTTCTCCCTCACAAAGACAGATCCCATTACACTGCACAGATTGAAGGGGGCCCTTCTGCTGGGATTTGGAATACTCCTGGGCACAACATCGGGGCCCGCAGCCTTACATCCTTAGTTAGATATGTGTTTTCACTTGGGGCGGACCTTTGGTATTCTGTGTAGCAACTAAAATGCATCTCCCTACACACACCGTACTCACCCCCTACTTCCTCTTTTGTCCTTACTTCTGTATCACCCCTCCCATCTCCAGATCTCTCTTGTGTCTCTTCCCTAAATACCTGAGGTTCTATGCCCCTGCCCCAGCATACTATCACACCTTTTTTCATCCTCTCTCTCTCTCATCAGACTCTTGCTATCCTGCCTTATAATCTGGAGCTGAAAAATAAATCTGGGATAATGTGATTGTGGGGCCTTGTAGTGTTCTGTCCAGGTATCATAGTTGCATATGTACAAAGGTCTTTCTGAAGATAGAATATCAGTGGAATTTTTGGTAATCTGCAGTATGCATGCACGTTTTGATCAGGAATGTGCTTTCTATCTTTCTTTTTGTTCATGGGTTCCACTAATATTTTTCTGTGACCCTCAAATGATCCCATGTAGATGAATACCTGGTTATTCCATACTTAGGACTTAGAACCCTTTGTATTTATAAACCAACAGATTTTTTCTCCTTAACATTTGGGGTGAGAAAAAGAAATCCTTGTTAATTTAAATAAATCACTAGGTTGGTTTAAAAATAAGGAAGCAACTGATTTTACTTGATTATTTCACTGAAATACAACAACAAACATTTATACAGTACTTATTATAAACCATGTACATTGCTAGTATTATTTTATTTAACAGTAAGAGCAACCCTATGAGGTAGATAATATTATTATGCCCATATTATGAATAAGGGAAACAAAACTCTGTAAGTTAATCAATAGGTTCATACAGCGAGGTGTGATGAAGTCAGATTTTGACACAGGTAATCTGTGAAACTACTGCGCTCAATCAGAGTAATCTAGTCAGTTAAAATAGGAACATAAAATCTTTCCTTGGTTTGCAGTTGGATATTAGCTTTGAAAGCAAGCACTAACCAAGAGGAATCTGACTTTCTTCTAGAGGCTGATATAGAATGATAGTTTCTTTATTTTTAATGTATGTATACATGCATTGGCTGAACTGTTAGAGGCTCTCAAACACTATTTGTTGGCTGTACACTTTGGTTTTCATTCTCAAGTTCAAATGGAACCATTTAGTCTCTTTTATTTCTAAAGTTTCTTCATACCATGGGTTTCTTAATTTCTCTAGGAAATACCAGAAAGTGAGGATAGAAAGAATAATAATATTTCTCTGCCTCCAAAGAGTTAACCATTAAGCAGATGAAAGACAGAAAGATAATTATAACACATTGGTGCTTTTTAAAGACTTGTGCATTGTCCTCTCTTTGCGATAGGTACCATTTCTGTCAACACATTGCGTACTCCCTACACTGCTCCTGGTGAGAGTGAGATTCTGGACCTGGATGATGAGTTGTACCTGGGGGGCCTGCCAGAAAATAAAGCTGGCCTTGTCTTCCCCACCGAGGTGTGGACTGCTCTGCTCAACTATGGCTACGTGGGCTGCATCAGGGATTTGTTCATCGATGGCCAAAGCAAAGATATCCGGCAAATGGCTGAAGTTCAAAGTACTGCTGGAGTGAAGCCCTCCTGCTCAAGGGAAACAGCAAAACCGTGCCTTAGCAACCCTTGCAAAAACAATGGCATGTGCAGGGATGGGTGGAACAGATATGTCTGTGATTGTTCCGGAACAGGCTATCTTGGCAGGTCATGTGAGAGAGGTAGGATTCTAAAACCCCAACAGCCAACTCCCTGAGATGAAAATTGTTTTAAATGTTGACCTCAAACCTGTACTGACCATTGAAACATAATGCATACTCTACTGAAGTAAACTCTGTTTGAAAGCTGAGCAGCCATACCTGACATGGATTACTAATGAGCTCTTAATGTTTTTCAAAGAGCTTGATTCTGAAAGGACACAGCTCTTAAGTATATTGCAGGAATAGAAACTTGAATCTTTAGTATCCTCTAGAGTATGAGCCTAAGATGTATTATAGACAATAACTGCTGTCTTTTTTGCCCAGTTTTTAACTTCAGAACATTAGACAGTAAAAGAGGCGTGAATTAGACATACCTATGGCTTCTAGTGCTAATACCCATGGTAAGAAATAGCATTTGAGGCAAGGTAAGCTATTAGTTGCGACTTCCCTGACCCAACTGGGTGAGACTTAAGTTAGCCTGTTCATTTCACTTCAGTCAACTTACAAAAGAGGCAATATCCTCTCTGAAAAGTAAGCTGACTTTCAATCACCTAAGGTACACCAATGTTTCTGGAAGTGTACCCTAATAGAAAAAGTACTTACCTTTGGCTAGGACCTAACCAACTGCAGAGGATTCATTTACCAATTTGCTATTATGGCTTAGCTGGGCCTATTGAAGTTCTGAGCAGGTGCCGCCTCTCTTTTTCTAATAGGAGGCAAACCTACATTTTATTTTTCTTTTTCTCACCCTATAAAATAAAAGGAATGAGAATTCAAAGAAAACTGAAGGGTAATAGCCGTCCCAGTTGATCTGCAGAACGGGCTAAAGGAATAAATAGCAGAACAAATAGTTCTAAGCTTATTCTTCCATCGACCCAGTGTTTCAGACAAATGCTTTAGTCACTGCACCCATTGTCACTTATTTTCAACAATGGAGCTAAAAATCAATATGAAAAAATACTGATGAGTTTTTCCATTGTCCTCACCTGCTACAAATAACATTCCTTTATTACATATTTAGCCTAAAAGTACCTGGCATCTATTTTTAAGCTATGAATATTTATTGTTTTCCTTTTTTATTCCTGAAATAGTTCAATTCAGTTTGCCTAAAACCTCCTAGGAAAAAGAGGGGTTGTTTTGTGAAATCCAAAATTGAAATCTGATTTTGGTTATTTATCTTAAAAAGGAGGTACATCAACTTACTAGTTCTATGATTAATATTAAAAATATAAATATTTAACAGTAATATAGTAATCATATATTAAACCGCTTACCATATGCTATTATTATTGTGTGTCATGCAATTAGATGGGTCAATAGATAGATATGTTATCACATAGATATAGATATATTCATTCTCTTTATGATAGTAGCTAACTGCAATTTCTGTGAATTGTCAGTACAACTTAGCTATTTCTGTATAATTTAGTTCGTATGGTGTATATTCTTTATAAGTTTCCTCTTTGCATTTTTCTTCCCAATTTTAGTTTGTTTGTTTAGTTTTGTTTTTGGAAATTGCCAAAAGGAAGAACAATGAACAAAGCTTGCAAGGTATAATACAGTTAGGCATAATATGAGATTAGCGGACTTGCATGATTTAAGGTTTTGTTTTAATTTTAATCACTCAGAGAGCTGCCAGTTATTCTGATGCCTCTTGGTTAAGTGAAGCTGAAAAAAGGGTATAACTCAACTGTCACATATATTACGGAAGCTTTCCGTTAAATATGTGTGGTGTACCACCCTGTGGCAATATTCTGCTACTACATGTGGCAAAAATGAAAATAGAAATTGTAGACTTTTCGAGCCAGAATGAGAGAGAAGAAATATTTATATATTGCAATGATTAGAAAAAGGGTCAGCAAGCATATGTAGATTTGTAAATGAGAATTTAATAGCAAACTTCATCATTGGGATTCGACATACTTCTTTATCTGATAGGAGGCTGGACGTTTCTGCAGATTTCTTTGTCTCCAGGTTGGCTATATGCATTTTTGGGTGGTTCTTGTTACTGGATTACCCATGTGTATTGCATGAGTCCTTTGCTTTTCAGAATTAATTTTCTTGCTCACGTTAGGGTGCCTCCTGACAGCAAAGGAAATGTGTGATGGTTGTCATACTCAATACCACAAAATTTAGTTTCCGTCCAGCTCCTGGCTATTATGCCCTAGTTCAGTTAACACAAGATCATGCCTGAACCTCTGAGTTTCCAATTTAAAAGAAGGGGCTTTGACTGAGTTTCTTCTCCGGACACACATTGATCAGATAAGGCTGTTGTTGATCAAATACGAGTTGACAACTCTTCAAGTTTTTTTTTTTTTTTAAGATAACTTTTAAACTTGTTTTCTTATTTTTGAGCAAAAATTGATAATTTAATATTTATGAAAATAATTATTCAAAGTAATTAAAAAGCATGTTCAACTCCTTGGATTTAGAAAGTTCACCATGGAAAAAGTATGTTGCAATCACATTATAGGAGATGTTTATCCTGCCTAAGGGGGCAAAGGAGTTTATAAGAGAGAACAAAATACTTGCTAACTTAGGCAGACAAGAAGAGATTATTTTGCTTTACATGTTTTGATCCTATAAGAAGGAGTAGTACAGAAATAATGTTCAATGAATAAAAGTTAAATTTAGTACCTTCCCTTCTGCTTTATTTTTGATAAAACTGAGAATTTGTGGAGACTTGATCATATAAAAATTATTCTCAGTCATATGTAAGAATAAGAGCATTGATATAATCAGATATCTACTTTATACTGTTTGTTAAATTCTAACAGATGGAGGGACAGATGTCAGAGCAATATAATTTGGCTCCCTGTCTGATTTTCATCGTTGATCACAATATGTGACTGCCTTTCGGCAAAACTGAGTACAGGTGTACACTTTAGACTGCAACAAAGAATAATGCAGAAAAGCAAATTTATCAAACTTAATGACAAGGGAGAAGGAGATATAGAAGACAAAGTTGAAACTGTTTTTCTCCCCCAGTGGGAAGTATTATACTAGAATTAGCCTTTTAAAGATTTATTGTATATTCTAAATGATGAAATAATTTTACTAGCGTTCAAGGATGCTGCCAAATAGCATAACCTTCAAATGTCAGAATGTTGTTTACCATTTATTTGGCAACTCTAGACTACAACCCTGTGCATTTTCCATTTCTTGTCTAATTAAACATTAACTCTAATTATGAGGAATCATTTAGACTTTCATTTGTCATTTATCAACAAGTTATTTTCACATTGAGAATTATTTAAAATGACACTCGGGGCCACTCAAGTTTTATTACTTTACTATGTTATTTCAGTCCTGCAGCTTTTTGGAGAATGTTAAAGGCTAATGATTCTGATTATTTTTTTTCTCTGGGTTGTATTTCCCACTATATTTATGATCCATTGTCAGTCATCTGTATTTCTAAAACGAGGTGCCCCCTATTTAGTTTTCAATCAAATTAAGCTAATTTTCCCAGAAGAATATGATTATTTCAAAAATATGATTATTGAATAATAGATCCTAGTTGTACAGATTAACTAAAGAGGAGAAAATAAACACTGTTTTGATCATTTTATCTGTGTGATACCAAAGTAACTGAACACATGATAATGGCTTTAACCCTTTTTTTCAGTTACTTGTTGCTTTACAGGTATGGATCATGATTGTCTAGTTTAGGAAAAGCAAAAGTAAAGATCAAATTTCTTTTAAAATTATACCACAATCATTTTTCTCTCTAGAATTCACTATAGCTTTACACTCAGGTTTTAATTATTTTTTGAACAACAGCAATTTGGTTATTTGCACTGGTCTTTGACCGCTGGGATTTCACTCCCATTTGAGAAACTTCTTGCCTAATTGGAAAAAAATATGATGTGATATAGAACCACTATATTTTTGAAAACCATATTTTGTTTTATCAGTGCTTAGGGCATTGCCTAACCATGAGGCCCCTATTTTAGCAAATAGACACTTCCTTAGCCTATATTCTGCAGCCCAATTTTGGCCTTCAAAGTGGACTTTATTAAATATTTTGTTCATGCACATTACTGAAATTAGATTTCACTTGCAATAAGCAGAATAAATACTTAATTTCTTTGGTAAGCATTTATGTAAGCTTGGTATTCAAATTGAAATTAGCTCACTGTGTGTGTGTGTGCAATTATTGATTCAATTAATATTTATGGAGGCTCTGCTGCGGGCCTGGCATCATGGGGGCACTTGTTGATAGAGCAATGCATATAAGAGACTGATCTCTGCCCTCAAGGTGCTTGTATTCTAAAGGGCAAATACAGGTAATGCTATACCAGCAAGAAATGCTCATTTTAACAAAATGAAATGGTGAATATCTATTGAATAACTGGAGGGGATAGCAGGCCTCTCTGAAGTAACATTTGAGCAAAGACCTGAATGCTGAAAGAACCAGCTATTTAAAGATCTGGGGTGAAACATTTTTCAACAGAGGGATCTAAAAGTGCAGACACTTCAGTGAGATCATGAAATTGGTGTATCTGGAGCTCACTGAGCGAGAAAGGGGACATACTTAAAGCTGAGGCCAGAGAGACGGGCTGGGGCCAGGGTCACACTGATCTTTAGAGGTTAAAAAAAGGTAGGAACACGGTTGAGGGAGCTACTACAGTGATGTAAGTGAGAGATGAGAGCAAAGTCTGAGGGACATTAGTGGCACAGGTGAGCAGCAATCAATTCAGAATGTGGATTGGAATTAGAGCCTGTAGGACTTGCAGACTTGCAAATGGATTGGACATGGCAGAGAGAGTAAGAGGAATCAGAAAGCTTTAGGTCAGAGCAATGGGTTTATCACATTTACTGAGATGGAGAAGACTGAGGAAGGAGCATGTTTTGAGTTCGTTCGTTTTTGAAGGGAGTGAATTAAGAGTTTAATAAGGTACCTATAATATTCCAGTTGAAAATTTCCAATAGGCAGTGAATGCTAGAGCTCAGGAGAGAAGTCAGAACCCTTAATAAATATTAGAGGAGTGAGCATATGAGTTGACTGAGATCTCTTAAGTAAAGAGGTAGATGGAAAAGAGAAGGGAGCTAACCTAAGCAGGGAGACCTGGAACAGTCAGTGCTTGGAGAGGCTCTGGATGCTCACTTAATCCCAGAATGACAACAAATAATGATTAAAGTCTTATAGAAACAGTACTTGACTTTCTGAAAGATAAACTTGCAAAACCACAACTCTGAATATAGTCCCAATATTGAACACAATTGTATCAGTACAGTTAATTGTTATGCTGTGTAAGTAGGCAAAATAATGAGAATTTCCAGGTTCATTTTAATTCCAGGTATTTTTTTCTTTATTAAGTATCATCTTGAGTTATTGGAACCAATGAGAAAGCAAACTGATTCATGCTTGTTTTGCAATATTTCACTACCATATGGTACTTAACATTAAGGAGTCCTGACTCTTTCTTAAAGCCGTCAGGTTGTCATCAACAGTTTTTCTAATCGTTTCTTTGTGTCTTTAAGACAGTACTAAGCAACTTCCCTATTGATGCCATCTACCTTGATTTAGTAACAAACATCCTTAAAAGCTCCTCAGTCCCACCCCCATGCTTATTTAGTATAACAAAGGCACATCATTATGCTTTGGGTGACAACGTATTCAGGACACCAGGGTTGTGCTAATAGATAATATTTAAAGTTACTCCCCTTCTATAAATTAACCTTAAAAGGAAGCAACAGTTTAAGCCTTTGTAAAAATTACCTTGCTAAACATAATGGCTCAAAAGAAGCATTATCTGTTGTTTGGTAATATCAGTTTTTCTTTTTTCTTTTCAAACATCACCTTTGGTAAAGTACTGGCCCAATTCCTACAGTTAAGCCATATTTCTTTTTGTTTTTTTCTTTTAAAAATAATTCCATCAGGGCAGAGATTATGAAAAAATGATGATAGTAACTTCTCCTAGAACTACAGGTTTTTAGGACAGATCAAAGCCCTAAGAAATCTTCTGGCAGTACCCTCTTATTGTGCAGATGAATAATTCAGAGTCCAGGCAAGGTTGACCAATTTCACAGAACTGGTCAGTGGGCTCACCGTACATAAACATGAATTGAAAAGTTGCTGGAGGCTGGGCACAGATTCCTTTTGGGAACCTGGGTGAGAGGGTCACTTGAGCCCAGGAGTTTGAGACCAGCCTAGGCAACAAAGGGAGACCCATCTCTAGAAAAAAGTGTTAATAAACTAGCCTGGCATGGTGTCATGTGCCTGTGGTCCCAGCTACTCAGGAGGTTGAGGTGGAAAGATTGCTTGAGCTCAGGAGGTCATGGCTGCACTGAGATCCCACCACTGCACTCCAGCCTTGGGAATAGAGACTTTGTCTCAAACAAACAAACAAACAAACAACAACAAAACCCAAACAAATACAACAACAACAAAAAAAATCCGCAACTTTGCTGGTGTTTCAAACTAGGCTCACACTGTGACTGTACAAAAGAACGTGATCTTTGCTCTTGAGAAGGGAGACACATAATCAAACCCTCAAAATTCAACATGATTAATGCTATAAGTAGAAAGTGCTATAGGAACAAAAAAAAAAAAAGAAAGAAAGAAAAGAAAAGAAACTGATGATATCTCTGTTTCTGGGCTTTAGAAAATATCTCACAAGGGGAGTCCTCTACTCTGACCTCTTTTCCAGCTTACAGTTTTGTTTATTTTTGAAGATGATGAATTGATTTTGTAGTATTTTGTTCTAGAAGTCTTAAATAAGTGATAATAAATTATCCTTTTCCTTATTAAAGTATTAATGCACTCTACCATCCAAGAACTTATTATATTCATTTTCCATCTCTAGAGGCAACGGTTTTGAGCTATGATGGGAGCATGTTTATGAAAATTCAGCTCCCTGTAGTCATGCACACGGAGGCTGAAGATGTTTCCTTACGGTTCCGATCCCAGCGTGCATATGGCATTCTGATGGCAACCACTTCTAGAGACTCTGCTGACACCCTCCGCCTGGAGCTAGATGCAGGACGTGTGAAACTGACGGTCAATCTAGGTAACAACCTGCCTTCCCCCATTGAACTAACACTTTTTTACTTTTTGTTCAATTTTGCCTGCAAACATTGATCAAGTAGCCTGTTTGCCATGGAAAATTAAAACACTTAATGGTCTTATTTCCATCATTTAAAGTAATTTTAGGTTTTGGGGGGCATCTTTTTATTTTTTTATTTTTTTTATGTTTAACATAACTTACTGTTTTGTGATTTCTACCACTGAGGGTTCTTAAAAGAGAAGCCATGTCTGTCAGTGAGGTTAACTGAAAATGTAAATGATTAAGCCTGAGGTTGCCTCAAGCTGAATTTTCTGTTGATATATTCACTAACATTTAGATTGGTTGTGGGTGACATCATTGCAGATAAATAAAAACATGTTTATTTAGAAAAGATTTGCACAGAATATCAAATTTCTGCTTTGTTATTGAGATCAACAGCTGTTCTTACTCGACTCCATGGGCTTCTCCTTTGAATAGTCACCTTTGTGGTACCCCATCTTTTCTGTTTTGGAGTACTGTGTAGTGGTATTTTGCTATCAAATAGCGATCCACAACCCTTCAATGCCCAAAGTCTGCGGCCCTTAGCAAACAGCCATGAGAACACTAGAGACACAGGCTCTTCTACAGAGAGATAATGCTTTCCTGCTTAATTGTAGCATTAAGAAAGACTCATTACAGTAAAACCTCACCAATCTGGATGAATTATGGGGAAAAACCAGGCTGAATTAGGAAAAAGTCTGAATTGCAGATTTTAAAATTTGTTTAAGCAGTTTTTACTTTTTATAAATTATACTCAAAATCATAATAGTTTCGAAAGTCTTATCAAGGAAAGGACTGTCTAGGCTGATTTTAGTGGTTGGATAAGAATTAATTATAATTAGCACATTGTTTCATGCCAACTGTGCCATCAACATAAAGTACTGGAAATCAGTTGTTTTCTCAAACTTGGCTTTTCAAAATCTTGTTTATGAGTTTAACTTTTTTTTTTTTTTTTTCTTAAGAGAGTTTTGCTCATATCAAAGGAAGAATTAATATTCTGCCCAAATTTGCAGTGTTATCACTGTTTCAAAATAAGTGGAGTCAAAATTAATGAGGTTTTACTGTATTTTTGGCAGTGTTAAACACACGTAGATAGAAATGAATAAACAGAGAGAGAAAAATAAAATTTGAAACTACGTAGATTTACCTAAAAAAAAAGAGTAATAAAATATGATGAGGTAAGGCATTTGTGGAAACCCCACCTACATTTTCAAATTGTGCTGGGCAGAATGATAACTCATAAAATATAAAATTATCCCATTGGTATCTTATTGCATATAATTATATTTAATTAATATTAGTGAAATTAAATAATAAGGTTAAAAAACACTACTTTAAGAACACAGAGCACTCTCCTTTACTGTTCTGTTAGAGTACCCTCTAGTGACAATGACAGGTTATTACAAGCCAATCAAAACAAATTGCCTAATTGCATGCAGTAAAGCTGCCGTTAGTCAAAGTGGAAACACTCATGAGAATTTTCGAACAGCAAAGCATTCTGTAGAAAGAGCTGTGTAGGTGCTGGTCCTTGGCTGTTTGCAACCACTTTTCTGATGCGGTTGACGACACATGACAAACTTAGCTATATGGAAACAGAATCTAGGTTTATATTTTTTATGTTCCCCAAAGGCATTAAATAATAAAACCCAAACCAACAAATATATATAAAATAAATAGAAAACATCCTACATAGTCTTTTAAAAATAACCACTATAATTACAGTTTGTGTTACCCATACCAGAGGTTCTGTTTTTATAGTAGCTGCTTTTATATAAAGCAGGTATAAGAAAGGGAAAATCAAGAAAGGAAAATCAAGGGAACTATGACACTTATTACGTAGAGAGAGCATTGTTAGCTCCTAAGAGAGGCATAGGCCTGTGTGCTTTGAATAATGACTGCTCCTTAGCCACTGGAGTTTCTAAAGGAATCATACAGTTGTTTCTTTCCTCCTCCAATTAACGCAAGGTATGGAATCCAGCCAACATCTGGCAGTTACCTTTTTATGCCCAAGCAAATAAAATTTAAAAACAAAACAAAAACATTTAGAGCAAGATAAGAATAATTTTAACTTGCTTTCCATTTGACCACTGCAATTCTGAAGGATTCTGTTGGCCTTTGTGGGATATTAGATTTCAGAGGTCCAAGATGCCTGAGCCTAGCTGAACCTGCACTGTACCCCATTGTGACGGAGCACTTTTACATTTTGCAGAAAACAGTGATATGTTCTTTCACAGATGGGGAGAAAGTTGCAGCCAGTCTAAGCCAAACATCTTTGACATTTAACAACTCTTTACTTCACTTAGATTTGTCACCATGTAGCTTTGTTTGAATTGGCCATTTTAAAAAACTTCTATTGTTGTTTCCAATGGTAAACTTTTATAATAATACACCTGGGCTTTATAAGTATGTAAAGAATAATGATACTGAGTGGCCATATTTGCATGTGTCTGTCCCCGGAAGGGTGGACTGTAATTTTATTGGATGTCTGCAGCTATTACCTTGAAGGATGAATTTTCATTTTTCATCTATTCTTCCCCATCTAGATTGTATCAGGATTAACTGTAATTCCAGTAAGTGCCTATTCAAAATTTTTAAAATGTTATTCCTCCATTATGATGTAAGCTAGTCAAGAAAAAAAGAGAGAGAGAGCAAGAGAAATGTGTTTATAAAACTCATGAACTCACTTTTAAAGTATACCAGTCCATCATCTGGGTTGTAAAAATTCATTTAAAGATTTGTACAACTGAAGACTTTCCCACTGCCGTTCCTACCTCTATGTGGAAAAAGAGGTGACAAGTGTTTTGTAACAGAATGTGCCAGCACCTTATAGACCTTTAGATACTGCAAGTGGCATTTGTGGACTTCAGTTGTTCTCTTCATAACTAAATAGGAGAAAATATTCTGGTTCTTGTTTTCTTTTGTCTTTATCTTTCAACTCAAATTCAAAAAAAAAAAATGTTAATTCCTCTTACTTCGAGAGTTACTATTAAACCCATCTAAAGTTTTACATAGACATAAAAAATTACTTGTCTAAAATGTTCTTCTTTGATCATTAAGAATGTTTATATGATGAATTTTTACATCCTAATCATATCTCTGCAAAAATAACCAAAACCCTTCAAATTTGTGACATGCATGCAAACTGATGAGTCTGAAAAGATGCATGGACTGAGTTTTCTTTGAATTTGGACGAAAATCTGAAAGGATAAAAGGACTGTGATTTTATTTTGAGTTGTAGTGTTATCTTAAGAGTAAACCTATTTATTTCTGTACATAAATGCTCAGGTTTTTCCTTTCCAGGTTGTGCTGATCACATTAAGAAATCTCCAATGATCACAACACAAAGTCATGAACAATTTAAATAAAATGGTTCTAACAAACTTCTAATCTCTCATTGTCATAACAAAGAATTTTTAAATTTATTTT